TTCTATTTTTAAAAGGTCCACTTAGACTCACTGGAGGTCTACATACACAATTATGAAAAAAAAAAAAAAAAAATCCTTATTTCTCCTACTTCATAGACTGAGCAGTTTCTGCAAAAACCTCAAGAATTTTCTTTCTTGAGAAATAAGGACATCTTTGAACAGAAAACCTAGGAGCATATGAACAGTAAGGAAACGTGAGCTGCAATTTTACAACAGAAATTATATGCCAGACAACTTCAAATTATAAGCGCTATGAAAAAAAATTTGGCATCTGATATTCCAATAAGATATAAAAATAAAAACCCCCAAACAAACAAACAAAAAAAACATGGCAGCAGATAGGTTAGAAACAATAAGTTGTGCAAAACATCATAGTCTGAAATCCAAAAGGAACTTCTCTTGAAGATGCATTTATATATCAGTGAAGTCCAAACACAAGAGTCTTACTTATTTACGCCTTCTCAGAGAAGTAACTAAGCAGCAGAACAGCATGGAGCTGCTCATGAACTGAAGTCTTTATTGGAATACCGTGCAAAGATGAGATGAAGGCTACTTTACTTCAGGGCTCAAAATGTAGGATTTGGGAAGGAAGGGGAACTTGATTCCATTTTATATTGAGAGAGATAATTCTGGCACTATCTCTGGAGTAAACGAGAGATAAAATGAAGGTATGAAAATGTCAACTCATAGTAACACAGATGCTATCATCCAGGAGTGTCTGCTGTTAATATAAAGGAGAGTGCAATAAATGGTTCCTTTCTCATCCACTTTTAGTCCAGTTTGCAAAAGAAACAGAAAAGTTGACCTGTGAGGTACACTTGAATTTCTTCTAAAATTTTACATCCTGAAATTTTACATTGGTCTGCTTGAATATCAAGACCAATGACTTACAGGCCACCTCAACTTCAAGAAAGACACTTAAACAACTCAGCATTGAAAGGCTTGTTCAGTCAATACACAGCTAAGACCACTCTCTTGGTCTATTGATGGTTGCATCCAAGAGTTTCCAAGAGAAACAAAGTGAGCTAAAACAGCAATGCAGAAAGCAATTGCAGGCTCATGTAGTAAAACAAAAATAAAATAACCTGACATCAGGAAACAGAAACTATTATTCACGTGCTTTCATTAATAAGTCTTTTTTCAACAATCAAACAGAAAAAATCATGACAAATCAACAAAAGACAAATGACTGATGAGCTCCAACTATGGAGTACAAAGGAAAGCATTTCTCAGAACCGTTTTAAGTCTCTGGTTATGCAGGTAAACATTAACATACAGCATACAAAACCATCCCTATTCAACTGTACTATTTAATCAGTAATGTTAAGGTCTAGTACAGAGTGTGCAAATTAGAGCCAACTCATGATATTTAGCCACTAAAAAGCGTTTTCTGCCAGAGTTTAATCTTCAAATTTAACATAGCAAAGAATGCTGAAAAGAATTACCATTAAATACTTGGAAAGATCCAGTGACTACACTCCAAAATGACCTACGGGAGCCACAAGATTAATTGAAGATCTCTCTCCCACCCAAAGACAAGCAGCTGACAGATGTGTTATTCAGCCACAGATTAAATAAAATAGGTAAACTGGTTGGTCTTAAGGTCACCTCAACTGGAAAGCTGCAACACACAGCTCCTTAAGGACTAATGGGAGACATTTACATTAGCAATAAATGGGATATGATCTTTAAACTTCACTAATTATCATATATTTTTACAGCCAAGCCAGGTTCCACTGTAGTTAGCAGAACATTTCAACAATCTGGCAGCCAATTAACATGGTTCTGCCTATGTTTCTCGAAGGTAAGCCATTACTTTCATACATGAGTTTTCTCTTGCTCTATGCCACTGATATATTCTACTCACAACTCTGAGAACAACAGAATTCAAATTTAATCCCAAGGATAAAGTCCAGGAGAACATTACAACTGGCTGATTTTGAGCCTTAACTTGTCACCAATCTCACGAGTTCTGGCAGGACAAGGAGAAAAGAAGAATCATTTTACACCCAACTGGTTTCAGTGCAGTAACACTATAGACTATAGATAGAGCACTGCCCAGTCAAGAGTTTCCAAGAACTTTAAAAATAAGCAGATGAGAAACACCTGTTTGGATGTAGGCAAATGTAATCTAATTGAGCCTGACAGCACAGACACCAATACAGTCATTTTCAAAATTTAGGAAACCTGCAATAGTTAAACAAACAAAAAAAAAAAAAAAAAAAAAAAAATCACACACTCCAGGATGCCTCTCTTCACAAATTCTTTTTCCTTAAATGTGCAGGCAGATCAGGTGTACAGAATCAGCTGATGTTTCATTAAAGTCTCTGTTTAACTTAAAATGGGATTTAAATAAGCCTTTAGTCCTTTCAGTGCAAAAGCATTCATACCTCATCTGCAGCCCGCAGTTAGGTATCAAAGGGTTAATTAACATATATGCAGTGTGTGGTTTAGGTAATATGAAATGAAAATCTTTGAATAGACAAGTGTCAGCAAGTGCAATGGAAATAAATTGGGCATCTCCTTCCACACTTCAACTTTCTCTCTCTAGATTTGCTCAGAGCTCTCTATGCTGCTTGTTCAGTAATTTCACGCTACGCTGCTTAACAATGTAAGCATGGAGGCTCAATCTAAAACCGCACTTCCCAAATGTCACTTGTTTGCAAACACATGGCTGAACCCAAAATTGCTTTCGATATTAGAGTGGTGCCTGCTGGCACTATTGTAGTTAAAGGTCTGTCAGAATTTCCACGATAAACCCCATTTTCAGGGGTGTATAACCATGACCATTTGCTACAGACAAACCTGGTATACAAGGCCACAGCAAACCTTTTTTTTTCCCCCCCCCAAACCAGGTTTGCTTAGTCATTTGTGAGTGTAAGACACTTGACAATGATTTGAGGCCTCCTACAGGCCTCTAGTTTTTTCTTACCAACCCTGTAGCCCCATAACAAATTCAAATGTATGATTCCCTCTTCACGCTCTACATGGCCTTAGAGTCTACGGCAACTCCACATGGCCCAGTCTAACACCTTGATGGAAAGATTACGAACACCAACTACGGATTTACATACTTCAACACACATAAGGGACAGAGAAGAGAAATGCATGACTTTTCAGAATGAGGATTTTTCTGTTATGAGGATCATTTTGGCTGCCATTGCTAGCAATTTAGAGGTTTTACCTGCCTGGCACAGTGATTATGCATATTTTATACTTCACAGCACAAACAACAGCATGCATAACAGAAGATGCTTTTAAACCACCGTAGTTTCAGAAATGAAATAAAATCTGTGTGTTTATTTTAGAAAAGGAGGGAGTTCAGATGCCACATTTCTTTGTTAACAGTAGACTCCATGAAACTACGGGCTGAATATTACTAAAAAGAACGAAGACAGACACTTCACCTTTCAGTAACCAAAAGGGCTAAAGTTACTTTCTGTGTGATGAGCTTCTCAGACACTGAGTGCTGTGACATTTTATAGTCAAGAACTGCATGTCTGCAGTTGCTGAGGGAAGACATAAATATAAAAAGGAGAAAAGCTTCAAAAAAAAAAAAAAAGGCTCCTATGGGCGTAACAACCATCTTCCTTTCCTAGCTGGGTTAATTATGCTTATTTACAAAAGAGGAAAACTAGGAGGAAACAGCATTGGTTTTTTTCCTCCCACGATTCTAGCAGATTCCTTACTGTCTGCAGTGCCAGAAACAGCACTAGCCTCTAGAAGCAGAAAGCAGTGCATGGCATTAGTTACAAAGCAACCACTCACACTGATTAACACGCAGCATTCTAAATACAATTCTGCACAGATAGTTTCAGCTTAGGTCAAACATGGCTAAAGATATTACAGCAAGAAGATGGAAGTTTCAAAAAAGCACAGTCAACAACTGTAGGATCCCAAAGCAAAGACTACATTCAGTAATCATCTACCTTGTTTAGAATATAAACCCTAGTACAGGAAAACAGGGAAGCATTACATTGTTTCATGGGTTGAGGCTCAGAGGCACTTGCAGTGCAACTTCAGCAAAGTTGCCTTTGCTCAGAACAAAGCATAAGGATGTATTATAAAGTTGTAGAGTCAAGCTGAGTTGATGGAAAAAAAATAAGAGCGGAAGATGATACAAACGTTATTGCAGAATGAAAACTAAGTCTGCCCTTCTGGAAAGGAGCATCTGTGGTGATTTTAAGCTCCTACCCATGGCTATAATTTCCCAAAGACTCTGCAAAACTGATCCCCAATTTAAAAACTCATGAAGCAGTTATACCTCACTGCACCACGTCTCATGTACCAAAAACATCAATACATCAAAACAAACCCATTTAAAGCAGACTTATAAATAAATAAATAAATAAAAATTAAAAACCAACCACATTAATCTGTTTAAAATATAGGCTGCTAGCTCTTCAGATTTAAAAAAACTAGACAACATAGTAGGCATGCTGTCATGGAAAACTGTCACTGCCTTCAGAACTGTCAAAAGTAATACAAACAAGAAATTTGCCCTGATGAAATAGCCACACAGAGTCATTCCGCTATGATTCTCCTTTTCAGACATGAATGAGACCTTTTGTACTGTGCATTTGTTAGGAAAATTTAAAAAATGTCCAGGTTATTAGTATACTCCTATGAAAGTTTAAGATGTCTCTAATTTATCCTTTCTCCTTCAACGTGTATACCCTAGTAACCGAATACAGTTCCATCAGTCACCTTATCCACTCTGAAATGCAGTTTGAATGCTTCAGAAAACTAATACAAACCTTCTAGCTTCAAAACCACCTCTCCACAAGATGTATGTATATTCAACATTCAAGAAAGACATTAGTGTGCCCTCAAAATAACGTGAATTATCAACAGGAATAAAACAATAACATGGAACAACGAAAGAGCACATTTTCAAAACAAGGACGTTTTCAGTTTGTTCAAAAGGAGAAGTTCTCCACCCAATCATTAGTTTATGAGCTTGTGGTTTTAAGTAACCCCTCAACCAAACAGATACCTACTTGAGTTGCCATTTTTCCGTAGTCAATCCAACGCAATGTGGCAAAGTTGGTTGACTCAGCACAGTTGAAGCCATGATTGAACCCAGCATGGTAACCATAAGGAAATGTAATCATAAACTCTCCAGCTTCCTGGGTGATCTGAAAAATAGAAATAGAAGGACAACCTACATCAGATGAGCAGAAACAACACTTTGAAGACAGAGTTATATCCTCCTTGTTAAATCTGTCTCAGCAAGGAGGCAGAAGAGTCACTGCCAGTTCTTGGCTATACCTATAGCAATTTCTTCTTAACTGTAGAAATACTGAAGTAGTTCTACTAGTGAAAACAGACAGTACAAAGGACAGAAGCTGCTATAAGATCTTAACTCTTGAGACAAAGGCCCCAGTTACTAAAAGAGTCCCAAGCTGCAGCATTCCAGAAGATCTACAAATCTTTTGCTTGCTGTCACTTCATCCCTTGTTAAGTTTGTACTTACACTCCCACACCATGCTAGTGGGGCCAAACAAACTGCATTTCCCACCTACACATGTGCTCTCTGCTGCAGTGTCCTAGTGAATTACATGATAACTTCTCCTGTAATTATTTCCCCACTTATATGGGTTTCACTCTCATTCTCATTTGTTCACTTGTAAGTCATACAACCTAAAAAATTTTAGCCTGCTATGTCTCCACCTGAGTAAAATTAAGATGAAAGTAAGTAAAAAGGATTGAAAACTGCAGATTACAGCTGTAATCAGAGGCTGAACAATTCCCAGTACTTCTAGAAAATCACCTTTTAAAAACCTACAAAGAGAAAATGTTGGGAAAGGAATGTACTTGTTAGGCTATGCAAGAACAACTGGTAGCAGCGTAACCAGCTCATCCTGCTAGCTTCCCAAAGCATAGGGTAGCATCCCCTACCTTCAACAGATCAGATATAAGGCAAAATTTGACCTTTCCCTGTCTTTCTAAACCAGAAGTGCTGACAAAGCTTTTGTAATACATCTGGGTTATTTCCCACTGACACTAAACCACAGCACAGCAGTCTGGAGCCTATAGAGCCTTCAAAGAACTTTCACATATAAACACAGAAATAGAACCAAACAGAAAATGTTATCAGAAATTAAACCACTAGCCCACTAGACTGAGCCCAAACTTGTTCACACTATGAACATCAGCAGAGACAAAAAGAAAAAATAAATGCAAGATCTGATAGCACAAAAGCTTCCACATGAGGGGTGCTGAAGCAAGGCCTGCAGCCGCACAGCGCATCCCCTCCCATCCCTCCATACATCACTGCACAGCAGTAGATTGCTAACTTCAGAAAACAGAAAGATTATGTTTCTGTCACAACATCTACATCCTGGTGTCTTCATTTCAAGCCCACAGCATATGTCCTCCATGTCACTGCTGTCAACATTATCCCTACAATAAATTAGAAAGCACTCGAGATGATGGATAGGCCATGCAGAAAAGTAATAACTATTGAAGAAAAGCCAGCACAAACTGCCACTCATGGAGAAAGGCCTAAATTTACTGACTTATGCAAGCTCTTGCAGAATAAATGGAGAAATCAATAGGAGATTATAGAAATACACATTTTTAATTATTAAAAAGCCCCAGTATTGATCTGCTTTTTTCTCTCAAGAAGTAAATACCATTATAGAGATTTATAAATGCGTGCTTATTCACTTCATTGAAATCTGCCAGAAATGTAGATGAAGGGATCCTATCTCTATTTCTACAGAAAAGTGGCACACGTTCCCTGTTCCTGAATAATAGCAATCCTCCATCAAAACCTACTATTTCAGGATAGGAATTATTCAGATATGGACTGTTCTGCCTAAAGAGATCTCCTCCTCCTCTTCACATTTAAAAACATCCTTCCAATGAGTGCCATAGAAAATAGAGAATATATAAATACACACAAAAAAACCAAATTTGTGCCCCACATTCTGTAAAACAAGATTAGGAATTATATTTCTTTAAGTGAGATGTTAACAACACCCCTTCTGTAAAAAAAAGAAGTTTGGTTTTGACAGCAATATTGTTTTGCATGAGGCATGCATTGAGGCATGCATTGGCCTCTATTTTTTGGGCAAAAAAAAACCAACAAAAAACACAGAAGCCAAACACATATAAAGGAAATAAACAAAAATCTATACACAAAATAAGTTTCTTATCAGTAAGGTAGCGCACATTTTAATACTCAGTATGAAGGAGGCACCAGAGATGAACCTACACAACACCTCCCCTCCCTGTGAATCGCAAGATTCACAGTGGGAAGCCTAGCTAACTGGGAAAAGACTTTTTACCAGGCAACAAATTAGAAATTCCTTCCATATCAAAGTACTTCATATCCCATGCCCATCACCAAACAGCTCAGTAAAGCTGACGTAGGACAAGCTCGATAGAAAAGCTTTCCTCTATTACAAACTCTTGCTCCTCCTGCTTGGCTGTTATCAGAAATTACTCGATATATATAATTACTAATCAGTGCCACTTTCCAGGTACATGGAAAAGTAAATATAAAGCATCACACCAGAGAAAAATATGCCCACCTACAGCATTCAAACACTTGAAGTCTCACACGAATTTCCTTCACGTTCTGGGCAGTGAAGAGGCAGAAATTAATTTCTATTTCTTATTCTTTTCCATTTCATAGGAGGATGGGATACCAACAAGGGGCTGCACAACAAACTTCACTACAATATCTAGTAGGCACCAACTCTGATTTTTTTATTATTATTTTCAGCATCTTTAGATAAGCAGTGATCTATATGTAAGCAAGCAGTGATCCCTTTGTAGGTTCTGCTCAGCCTCCTCTATCAAGTCCTTTCTCACAGGGGCATCCATGTATTACACTGAGATGCTACCCATATTCCAATCTACTCATTAACTGTCCTGAAATTAGTAAAGTTAAAATTCCTACCAAAAGCCCAAAAAAGATCAGATCCCAAAGTCAAATTATTTTCAACTATGTGTAGCAGATAACCATGTTTTCACATTTGGGCTTTAGGTTTAACAGATAGAATTACAAGAAAAAATGGTTTGTTGATCCCTAAGAACAATTTATTTTAATATCGCCTATTGTGCAAACTAGGCGAAATGTAGACACTGATATTGAACCATAAGCACCACACATGGCTTTCTGCAAGTCTCTGATGCACAGTGAGCTCATCTTACAAACCAGACAATCACACTTCAAATTTCATTCATCACAGCCTTCCACTAGGAAAAATGAAACAGTCTCTGGAGCAGTAAATTGAATGAATTCATAGTTTTTATGCTATAAAAGAGTGCAGAACTTATACTTCCATCTCAAAGAATCACTAGGACCATCAAATAGGTGCTATACTTTATCACCGGTGGACTAAGCAAAACCATGCTTAAGAGTTCTTACTTAGAAAGAAGGAAAAAAAAAAAAAAAAAGGCCACAATATCTTGAGCTGATGATTCCAGAGAAGTGAGGAAGGATGAAATCAGTTTTAATCGAGTACTCTTTGACACTTCCATTGGAGTTAGAGCTGCAGTGCCTCCAAATCAATTCCCTTTTCTGCACCCTGACAGTACCATGCCAACAAACACTGTCCTTAACCATTCCAGCAAGACAAGTGCTTTGTATGCTGGCAACATACAGAAGCAGTAACCGCTTGATTGAATCTGCACAAAATCCATGCTTGACTGAGGAGATTTACTTCTTGCCCAAAGCCTTTGAGGATAAGCACATTAAAATGATCATACCAAATAAACATGGCCCCTCATTTCAAATAAAAGGACTTAAGAAACAGGCAGATCCTTACTGGCTCTGTGTAGATAGAATGCTTTCACAACCTGCATGTGTAACTCCAGTTTTTGGTTTACAAGAAATCCAGAAAAAAACACTTAAGAATGTGTTGAAGAGCTACCTGAGAGTTATGCTGCCTATTGACAAGCCATAGGACATGCATCAAACTGCTCCTGACCAGCTGCAGAGAACTGCTGCCTTAGAAGAGGGGTGTCATAGTTCGTGCATCACAGCAACTTGTCAGCTTCCTCAAAGCCTCTTTCGTACATACCCGGTCAAAAGGAATGCCGTACTTCTTCAAGATTGAGGGTGAAATGAGGGTCATCTTGTGACGGAGGAAAGCATCACATCCCTGAGAGCTTCCAGGAAAAAATCCTGTGGAGACATTACAAAGAAGACTATCACTTCAGGAATATTAGATCAAGTCATTATTTAATCAGCGACAAGGTGACAAAATGAAAACCTGCCTAAATATTTTACGTAGATCAAAGCAATAGGCATACTGCTAAAGATGTCAGTAATTAGCACATGCCTCATTGTTTCAAATGCCACATAAATTTTGTGAAAAAGACTTGAATGTTGAGGCACATAAGTGTTAATTCCATTCATAATGAGAGTCAGCAACTAATCTTACATATCTGAGCAAACGCAACTTGGCCAAAATCTCAGTAAATCCCTAGCAAATTAAGAAACTGAACCTGGCTGTCTCCAGTTTTGGCTAAAGTCTAAACAAACCTTTTTCTTAATACAGACAAAGAAAAATTGACAAGCATGCACCATCTACTCCATACTGAGATGTCCTTTTTATACCTTCTCTGATGGGCAGCTATATTATTCCTGGGAAAGTAACACAACTGTTATCATACGATTCCAGAACGATCTGCCCTACATACCAGCCTAAAGAAAAGAAAGAAATAAGCATGCAGATGTTAATATTGAGTCAAAAAGAAAGAAACAAAACAAAACATAACCACTACAGTGAAGTGGAAGGGACACTCATTCATTGGCCACAGAGGTCAGAGGCAGAGACACTGTGATTTAATTCAGCATCTCAGCAGTACAAAGTGCAAGTTTGACTATAGCTACAAGATTCGCACTGAGTCAAAACAACCACAAATAATTAAAAATATTAACATTGGGGTAAAACTAAACCTTGATGTCAACACTTTCTTCCCAAAAGCATCAGCTAGACTGTAAGAACACAGTGTTCACGACCATGTGTTCCACTCCAAGCAGGTGATTCAATTAGCAAATGGTGTTTATGGGATTAAGAACCAATGTCATTTAGAGAAGGAAAGAAAATTTAAAAAGCAAGCAAGCTCAGGATACAAAACTAATCGATGGGACATAATGGAAGGGGTTTCAGAAAGTGAAAAGAATTGCCAGATTCCAGGTTTTCCTATATTTTTGCATTAAAAGCATTTACATTAAAGTGATGACTGTCTGCTGCCTAGTTTGTCGTCCTTCTCTGCAGTTCCTTTTTTTAATGCGCTATTTTGTGTGGCTCTCATTAAAGCTACTAATAAATAAGCACATTTTAAGTGATTAGCACCAATAACATGGCAACACATTAACATTCTCTCCATGGACTCCACAACTCTCTCAGCAAGCCCATTTACAGCTCAGCTATTCATTTTCCATATTAATTGCATGCTCATCTTTCCAGAGAGAACATCTTCATAGTATAGTCTGCTGATGCATAGGATGGGGAGGATGCCCAAGCAGTAACGCTGCTTCATCATAGTTTTTAGACATTATTCATCCCAACTTCCCAAAGGTACTAAGCAAAATAAAACAAGCAGCTCAAAATAAAGATGAGATCAAGGATAACGTGTCTGGTTTACACATTGTCAACCACTGCTGTGCTTCAAAATTTTATTCTTTTTTCTACAAGTATGAAACAGTCACCAGAACATCAGACTGTCAGCAAGAAATGCCAACACTATGAAAACCTACTTCTCTATTATTACTCCTTTGCATCAGAATACAGCCTTCCAGATCTCCCTGCCTCTCATACCACAGCACTGCTTTTGTTGCATTAACTTCCACAACAGATTTAAATCATTAAGAGTACACCTCACTGAGGATGGAATATGTAGATTTTGACTTAATCATCCTGAAACACTGTCTTTTTTTTTTTTGGCTGGGCAGTGCTTAGAACATTTGCAAATATACAAAAACAGCAACAAAGCACAAATAAAACATCAACATACAAAGACATATATTTCTACAGTCAGTCATCTTTCCTGAAGCTGCCACCATTACCAATTGGAAACCAGAAGCAAAGACAGAATGCTGATGTCCATGCTAGCTGCTTGCAGGATGACCCTGGCAGGTACTTAGGCAAGAGCTGCACACATGGCTTCGGGCAGCTGAGCCTGGCACTTGTAAGGTCAAAAATTACAGCAGCCCAAGCTAGCCCTACTCTTTGAATTGGACTTTATTGTGCTGAAATGATGACGGAGGATGACACTGGAATGGAATGCCACCAACAACACTGTATGTCATCATAGAGGGAGGCAAGAACTCCACTAGCTGTTCTCCATTAGTGCTGTTGTTGAATTTGCTTAAATAAGATTTGAAGTAATCAATAATTAACATTTATACAAGAAGAAATAATGATTTTTAGCACACCTCTTCCCAGCAGTGTGGGTATGGGATGGGATCATCACCAATACTTCACAGACTGCACACCACAAAACTGGAGCACAGAGCTCTCACCACACTGCCACAAACCTCCTACAGCGATGCATGATGAACTCTATTTCCCACGTATGGTCTCAATGCTTTGAAAATCAAGCTTTTTTCACCAGTATTGGTTAGTGCCATGGTGTGTCAGAAGACAGATTTTGAGAAAACAGCTGCACTATGAAGAATTGTGCACAGCACTTCTGACATGACAAGGTTTCTGACTCTGAGGTTATTATACCAATGTAGGTTCATCAAGCAGCTCTTTCAAGAGTAAATTACAGCAGTCAGTTCAAAATCAATTCTTTATAAATCTAAAAATTCTTTACAAATCCATTTTAAAATTAAGAGTTGGACTCTCTTCTGGAATGCTTTGGTTTTCACTAAGTACATACCCATGTATTTATCCAAACAACATTAACATAGGAAGAAGACAAACTTACCTTTCGCCAAGCGTTCCAATCTCTTGCCATGTTCTGGAGGTATGGCATACCTAGGACAAAGTTAACAGAAAAGAATAATCACATCCCAATGTAAAAGCAGAGAAAAAAACTAAAAACAATGGTAGTAATAACTTTTAGCACAGCACTCTTACAATAATGTCTCCAAATGTAAGCAAAAATTTAGAAGTCTGGAAGGCATCAGTAACACGTCGGTACAAAAGGAGGAGGAAAGTCAGTATCTCAGAAAAGCCCTTAAACGTGTTAGACAATGCATGAGGCTTTCCTGCCACTTTTTAAAAAACACCACCTCAAGCTTCATAAGGTGTAAGGAGAGCAGAGGTGACAAACTGACAGCACAACAGAAATCAGTCAGCATAGGGAACAGCAGAGTTGTTTTCTGCAGGAAGGATTCATGCAAAAGAAACTCACAAGGCTGTGCTAAAGACAAAGACAAGAAATTTCAGATGGGCTGAAAAGGTGTGAAGGAGGATCTGTGTGCACTAACATCTACAGGGAGTGAGAATAAGCATTTTTTCAAAGACAAGTATGCAAATCTTTTTTGGTTTTCTTCAAAAAGTTTTCATAACAGCCAAAGCAGCTGATCCTTGTATTGGCAGGACTGTGTTGATAGATTTGAAACAAACAGAATTAAACTGTTAGGTAATTTTCTAGAAGAGCTGAATGGAAGAAGTGGGGTCTTCAAAGGAATAACACATAAAAGAATGCAGGGAACTGTTTCTACATTTTTTTAAAGACAGTTCTCTGTGATCAGGAGTAAAAAGTGCACAGAAGAATGTTACTGAGAAGAGGTTCCTTTGTTTGTTTTGTGCTGGTGCAAAGTACTGAATATAATTCTGGAAAAACAATCAACTGCCTAAAGTCACACAATACTAATTGAGATATTCTCCTGTGATCTCTCCCCCAGATGATCTTAGCTACGTTACACCTTTGAAGTTACATTGCCTTCACAGAAGGAAAAAAATCAAGTGTTTAAGATTTTACACTTCACTCTGGTCAAGATGTGACTGAACACCACAATATACCCAGACATCTTTAAACAGATGGCACAAATAATAATGCCAATAGAATTTTTAAAATTGTTGTTTACATACTGCATGAAATTAAATGTGGCTGTGATACCTTTTTTCATAACAAGAGAGAGTTTTGAAAAAGATATATTTATTACCAGCTATAACTTTTGTACAATGTGAATAATAAAAAAACAAGTTACTTTGTTATCTTCAATAAAATTGTCAAAACTGTCATATCTCATTACAACAAGTTGAAAATGGGACATAGTAAGCAGGTAACTGCATGATCTCAACAACATGTGAAGAGTATTGTTGTTCTTCTGATAGGATCTCTGAAAAAACAATGAGTTTAGAGGACTTTCTGCCAGTCTTCTCATTCAGATTCTCAATTTTCAAGTCAAAAGTTTATCTACAATGTAAGAAAAAACAGATAGAAGTCATATCCCAAATTGTTTTTTCACATTACCAAAATTTACCTTATCTGATCCTTGCAGGTTAGAAAGGATAACAATGGAAAGAAATCCTACATAGGATGCCCTAAGATTTAGACATTAAGCCGATTTAAACTGATGGCTTAAAAAAAATCTAAGGGAAAATACTATGTAGTACCTAATCTTATAAAATAATAAATACAACAACAGGCTCCCAGCATACTCTGACCAAAGTCTGACAGTGCCTTAAATTGTATAATTATCAAACAATTCAATTTCATTTGTCTGGGACAAAGCTAGGAGCTTTCATTTTACAAAGACAATTTATCACTTACATAAACGTGATAAAACTAATCCTGATCCAAAGCTCCTTTGTGGGATTAATGTCCCTTAAAACAGGGAAATGAGACATTCCAGTCCTTGTGGGAAAAACGCTGAAGGATTGGGAAAGAACTAATTTATGGCTACAAGGCTGCTGATGATTAATGTAATATCCCCAGTCTACAATGCAACCTTCACTTAATTAGTGTCTGTAATTGGGAGTTGTAAAGATAAGATTAATTGAATCTTGAGGATGTTAAAAGTCTAATATATTGGAACATGGTTACTGTGTTATCTGCAACTGCAGACTGCAAAAAGCCAAGCTGAGCTTTGGAGAATAGTCCATGGAGAGTCAGAGAAAAAGGACTTGCTTAGATAGGAACCAGTGAGAGAGGAGGAATTTCCAGCTTTTAAAAATGGAGTATATGTAATAATCAGAATAATAAGCAGATCAGAATACTCTACCACAGAACAGCCTCTTGGGAATAGCTGACTCTACATTTATAAATTAACTTTTTTTTGTTTGGACCAAGTCTTTTAGGAAGCAGACTCTATACTTTCTTGTAAATTTATCCTCAGGAATTCACAAAGTTAACTGCAGAAGTGAATTAGGAGTAAGTAAAATTCTATTTTAAGTTACATTCACAGATCCGACTGATTTACATAAAGATAAGCAATAAAGAGAGAATTCAGGCTGCTATTTAAAACCAGGAATAGAAACAGAAGTCTTCTGCAAGCTCTGCACAGATCAAGCAAGCGAGCTTCATGCGATCAAGAAATAAAGTGATTGATTACAAGGTAGAATAACAGTGGAGGTCACATGGAAAGATCAGAAATTGCTGCAATCAAAGGAGCACTGCAATTGGGCATGCAAGCACCCATGAAGGGGTGGCTCTTGTGTATGATCTCATGGCAGCATCCTGTGCTCTCACTACAAAATGTGGCCAGACATTTATTAGGGACAAAGTCCTCCACAGAAGAAACTGTGGAAGCAATGACATTCAATACCTTTTGTTACTGACCCTCCTGCACCCAACAGGCTGGGGCTTAGATCAATAAAGCATTTTAATTCCAGAGAGAGCTGGGAAGACTATGCTTCATTATATCCAATGACTTCCTTTTCTATAGGCGTAATTCAGGAAACTTCAAGATTTCTTCAGCAAATAGGAGTGTTCTTTTTCCTTCAGTACCCCAGACCCATACTAAGAGAAGTTTCCTCTGGATAAACACCAAAACCAAAAGCCATCCCACAAAAAACTTGAAGGAAAAAGAAAAATCACATCTAAAACTGCTTTCCTTCTCTGTCCCATTAAGGCTGTAGCATAAAAGCACTCCAAAGTCATGGAAAGAGTAGGAAAAGTACATAAATACAAAAAAAACCGCCACTTAGACTTCTGCATCAGTTGGCCAAAAATGGAGTGTAATATCCTGTAAAAATCTCAACTTGAGAATATCAGACTGACAACTATCCGATGCTTCATCACAGTTGACAGAAGCAGTTTTCTGACATCCATCTGCCCAGGTGGAACTGAACGAAAAATACTGCAGACCTACCTTTTCTTCAGCCTACAGTAGACACAGCAAAGATGAAGCAAGAATGTTCTGTCATCCCAAACAGTCATAAAATTAAAGGGAATTGATAGTGGCAGCATAAATATTTAAACAGCTTTTATTAATAACTTTCTTTTTGTAGACTACTTCTGCTTCAGAGAAAATATCTGCAACTGTCAACAAAACATACAACTGTGCCAAAAATGCTGACCTTGAGCCAATGCTTCAAATGTAGTATCTGCCCCTTCTGGTTCAGTAAGGTCCCCCAGTAAAGCTATGTCTATGTAAGCAGTGCTAAAGCAGCCATTGTTTTAAGGGATATCAAACTGGCAAGAAACTGAGCTTCCTAACAGACCAAGAAAGGCCAAATCACCTGAAAACTGCCATGATGCAGTCTGTGGGATTACAACATGAATAACATCTTGCTGCTTTGCCACAGAACACAAGATTTACAGAACAGGAAAAAGTCTCAAGATAAAAAATTGTTATAGCTGTATGACTCAAATATCATCTTCCCTGAAGTCAACAATCTGAAAGTAATATACTGATTCTTCTAAATTACCTTTTCCGATACTTTCTACTAAAACAAGAGCAGGTCCCTGAAATAGATTAAATGTAACTTCTACAAAAATGGAACTTTGCTGCTCTACGTGAAAAATTCTCAGCTTCCAAACTTGTTTCACAAAACTTAAATTCTAGCACAACTGACCTCTACTTCCACATAATATTCTGAGTTCTTGAGGATCCCTCAAACCTCATTCTGCTTGTAGTTACCACACATTGAGATCACAGGTCTAGAAGGTGCATGCCCCAAAGTACAAATGTGTAAGATAATGACAGATAACCTTAAAGGTTCCTTCCAACCTAAACCGTTCTGTGTTTCTATGATTTACAAACAGCGGTAGTTTGCTCTTGTTAACAAGTAGCAAGTTTAACTGGGCAGTCCCCTTTTCACCCCTAATGCAAAGGATCTTTCCTATTTGCCATAAAGGATGTCATTAATAGTGTAATTTTCTTGGTGTTTTGTTTATTCCCCTGGAATGGTTTGATGGATGTCGATAATTATCAGACTATAAAAGCCAGCAAATGTGCTATTTTCTATTGCTCTAAATCATCAAACAAATAAAGTGTGAAACAGCATTTCTGAATACAATTTTCCCCTCTAATGGCTTAGAATTATTATCAGGAACAATGAAAAAAAATAAGCAAATGTCTTGCGAGTTAAGAATTAAATGAATGTGTCAGTAAATAAAGAGAGTACACTGACCATCCCAGGACGCAAGGATGCAAGTTTAGAAGCCATTAAAAGATGACACAGTGAGGAATTTACTATTGCAATGACACCATTTACAGCATCAGATCTTCTTCACGGACCTTCCAGACTAGCTCAGATTCTGACCTCGAGGCTGCTCCATCAAAGCAGTAGGGTACGTTCAGTTTTGTCTTCAAAGCTATTAAAAATTTCATCTATAACAAAGCACTCCTGCCTCAGCAACCCTCGACCCACTCACACCCTTTCCACCATTTCCACCCCTCCCCCCCAGGTTTAGGAGGCATTGTTCTCACCTGGAGCTGTCTAGCTTTGGCAGAGCATCAGAGCATCCCATCCCTTAGATCAAGAGTTTCTCAAAGTTTCCGAGACCTTTACCCACTACAGCTGTGACACGCACATGGATTTTGTTAGTTACAATGCCTTGCTTCCCACCTTGCACGCCA